TCAGGAATCTACTCACTGTATTTCCCCTCATGATGCTCCTGTAGAGCTGTAAAACGAGAACAATGAATAGGATGGTGGCGATGACAATAATAATCAGGTTGGAAAAATAGATACCCCATTTTTTAGCAACTGTTGATTAGATAGGAATTCTGGGTTGAGGGCTTGATGGAGTAAAAAGAGTTCCTGCACATGTGAGACTTGTTAGAGGGATTTTTAGTAGGATGAAGCATTCAGTTAATTGTTTACCAATCAGGACTTGTTTTTTGTCGTGTTTTTTAAACATGGGTGTTTTCTAATCAGTTGCTCATTATTTGTTAGCCTCGAGTGTCCCAACTAGGCATGCTCTAATGATTAAATGTCATGACCATGTCTCACAATTACTTGAGTTTTGCGATACATGTAACAATAAAAGGAAATGTTTGATTACAAGCATTCTTTTATTACTTCCCCCAGAGTCACTACTACTACAGAGATTAAGCACGCAAATATCAACTATTTGGTGCACAGTGCTCACTTGTGCACATTCGCACACCGAACACACACAAAAACTTTGAAATACCTTTGTATCATCACTTCCACTTGGAGAAATTGGAGGGCTTTCAGCTTTTGGTAATTCTTTAGGTTGCTGTAATACATGAAAATTATGTGAACAATAAAACTGGGACTTGGGTAAGTAGATAAATTATAAGATCCTTTTTTCTGGAAGAATGATCATTAGTGGCTCGGTTTTAAAAAAACCCTTGTTTTAACTGCAGGAGTAAAGGTCAGAGAAGGGATCTTACAAATTCCTTTGAAACCGCAGAGCTTCTAAGTTGGGTTTGATCAGCACCAACTGAACATAGAGGGGACTTCTCAACATGGTTACCAGCAATCTGTGTGTGGGAAAGAGCTTTTGAAAGTTCCACAGCCGGGAGACTCCATGATCTAGCAAGAAACTCCATGGATTCAGTAGGCGTTTCTGGTGTAGGGCAAGTCACTTGTAGGCAACCTAACGGACTGTCTTCCTCAATGTTTTCCAGCCTATTTGGTGTGTATTTGGAACCAGGCAAGCTCGCGGACACTGTAATAAGCATACAAGGTGAAAAAAACTGACTAATTTCTTTTCATTTCAGGGTACGGAAGCTCATTATCATAAAACTTACTTGTGGTATTATTGATTTCAGAATTTCACTCAGTTAATTATATAGCTGGAGTTGAACATGACTGCAACTTCTCATGCAAAGTGGAGCAAACAGGAGGAAGATAGGTGACGATAAACAGGAGAAAGGATGTGATATATAACATGGATTCTGCACTGGGTTCCAAGTTTTCTTTAGTGACTAAAACATAAAGGAATATTAAACCGCATGGGTTTGCTTCCGTGATCGAGCGACAGGTGAGGTGTAAACTGGCACATCCAAATTTTGAGTCTAGTGACTATATGAAACACTACACAGAATTACCCAACACACGTGATTTATCGGTGATTGCATACATTTAAAATCTAAAGTATAGCCCGAAGGGTTCAAAACATGTGATCGAGACAATTCTCCAATTTTTTTTTTAAAAAAAAAATGGTAAGTGGGGTTATGAATTCCATATTGCTACATGAAAGGTCCCAATTAAAGTGTAATAAACTTTGTCTCCACCTTCCATGTTTTCCTCTTGTTCTTCCAATCTTTTTGTGCTTTATTCAACAGGAGCTAAAGAGCAATTTTTTGAGCGGCGGGCTTCATCATGACTGGGGCCTCTAATGTCACCACTGCTACTGCCTAAAAGGAAGAAATGGGAGCCTCACGCATACAATATAAACCCTCTGGTTTGTAATTAAACCTTGCCATAGACTGTATTTCATGACTTGGTTGAGACTCTTTTGACTCTTCCTACTAACCAATACATTCCAAAAGAATAAAACAAAAAAAAGGAGTTTGCAAATGTGACTTCAAGATTTAAAAGTCATTCTTAATCCAATATGTTTAATTAACATTGGGTGATTAGATACTAATCTGATCTATTTATTTATAGTGTCGTGTTTAGGTTGTCATTATGCATAACCTACAATCTAGAAGTTTACATTTCTCAATTAAATCAATTACTTAAACTTTTCTTAGATTAAAATTTACTCGATTTTGATTTTCACAAATCTAAAATAAGAAATTCTTTAATTTATAACGATTTAAATAATACATAGATCAAGATGGTAAAAAAAATGATAAAACACAATTAATGTGTTGATTGTGTCAAAATTTAGTTACTCGTGATTGATATTAATCTGTTTTAATCATTACTTTGTCATAGCATATCGTTTTATTTTTAACTTTGCATTGAGCCCTATGATCTAATTTTGTGTTGAGTTTATAATGTGTTCGTAGTTGTCTACTTCAACAGCGATTAGAATGAAATTTTAATCTACGGATGTTTATTGTGATAATTTAATTTTTTTTTTATTCAAATATTATTATAGGGTGGAGGACGAGGAGTCGGGACTGCTAACCTCGTGGTAATCAAGTTCAAGGCACTCATCCAAAGCAAATGGTATCTGTGTCTTTTTGTTTACTCTTCATCGTTGCTTGAACTGTAATCATGCGAAAGAGATAGAAATGCTGCACTAATCTTCCAAGGACCCACATCCCACTTCCCAGTTTTCGAATAACGAAATACGAGGCTATAACGTCGTACCTCGTCCCCTCAAGACCTTTGGAGGCTGTGGCTATTTCGATGCAAACACAAATGGTGGAAAACAGTAATGTTTCTAGGCAGACACAAGTTGAGAACAGTGTTGTACCATTGAACGGACAATATTACCGTTGCCAGCAAATTCACTACCACTACCAACACCGCCACTGCGACAGCCCCGAAAGTTCAGCCGTCCTAAAGTCAACCGTCCACTGTGCTAGACTTATCTCACGGTGGTGGAACAGGACTCACAGGGGGACTTGCTTGTGTTTAGAGCGCTTGTTTTTTTAAACAAATCTAAAAAATTATTGAAGTTCGACTTGTTTAGAATTTGAGTTAAGTCTGAGTAACTCAACTATTTTACACATAAACGAGTTAAGTTTTACGAGATTAAGTTGAACCTACAAGCCTAAAAAATTATACAAATTTAGTTTGTTTAGAACATCCAAAGCTCATTTCTCCCACCGTCCAAAAGAAACTAGCCAATCACACCACTATCACCTCACCATACTCGATATTAGAGGTGGCAATATTAACTTATTACCCATTAATTTGTTCAACTCGTCCATAAATAAATAGGTTGGATACCTATATTAATTAATATAGGTTTTAAATGGGTTGGGTACCTATATTAATTAAAATTAAGTGGGTTAATATGGATTATAAATGGGTACTCATTGAGTTGAGTATTTGTCTTTTTAATAAATAACATAAGTAATAAAAATAAATAAATATACTAGTATACCCAAAAATATACATTATTACACCAAAAAATACAAACACATACACTAATACACTAAAATATACACACACTAGTACACAAAAAACACACACACTAATACACCACCCATGACCCACAGATCGACCCATAACCCATGGGTTGCCATGACCCGCGGGTTGATTCATGACCCACATATCGACCCACAACTCACTGGTCAACCCACAACATTATGTGTGTATTTTCTTTTTTTTTGTTTATTAAATATGTTTTAATTTTTGTGTGTGTATTTTTGGTGTATTAGTGTGTATATTTTTAATGTATTAGTTTGTATGTGTTTTGGTGTGTTTGTGTATATTTGTATTTTAGTGTACCACTAATGTATGTGTGTGTGTGTTTTGGTGTACTAATGTATCTATTAAGAATTTTTATTATTGTATGAGTTAATCGGTTTAACCCAACCTGTTATAAACTCAACTCATTATAACTCATTTATTAGGTAAGTGAAAAATAGATTTCATTTATTTTATCTCAATCCAATTTAACCCTAATCATAACCAATCCAACCCATCCATTTGTCACCCCTACTAAATATCTATCTATACATTTTAAAAACTTGAATAGATTTGTAAGGTATTAGCTCATTAATTGTAGCCGAATTTTGACCATCAAATATCTACCACATTGAGATGTATTTATAACTCTTAGGAATAAGGGTGCAACTCGGGCGGGTTAGACGGATTGGACAATCAACCTTAGCTCACCCCTAAGTATATAATTTTTAACCCTAACCCGGGTTGAGAAACTTAACCCCGAGCACTACCCGAGTTTAATTCGGGCGGACTCGGATTGAATTTGGGTTGATGATTTCGGGCTGATTACGGGTTACTTTACTGGTTCAATTCGAGTAGAGCCTAAAATAAGTTTGTTGTTCTAAACTTAATACATATATTACATAATATTCACCTAAATTAACAACCAATAACTTCAACCTAGTATTTAACGAGAAAAGACTAAGAGAACGAGAGAGGCAAAAAGAACGAGAGAGACAAAGAACAATAAAATAAAAATAAAAAATCAGTGCTAATGTTTTATATATATAAAATTTTTTTAATTTGTCAGGTTTGGGTTGAATTCGGGTTCACGAGGCCTTAACCCGAGCCCAACCCAAATTGAATTCGGGTTGGAATTTTTTTACCCAAACTCAACTCAAGTATTAAAAATCCTTACCTAAGCCATAATTTTTTCGAGNTTGAGATGATCATGCAATGCCAGTTAGCTACCACGGGGTAGATTTCCAGCCTCAATGTAAGCTCCCAGATTATAAGTTCTGAATGAGTAGCACCCTCGATTCTATGCAAAATTTGCACTGTGCCATCTTTTCTGTAAGCAATGAGTGTAAGATTGATGCTTTGTTTTGTAAGGGTGCAATTTCAAATTAACATGGTTTGACATTTTTATTCTTTTTCCTTTTTGTTCTCTTATGCAGGTCTTTGTCGATAATATTNCTGTGCCATCTTTTCTGTAAGCAATGAGTGTAAGATTGATGCTTTGTTTTGTAAGGTTGCAATTTCAAATTAACATGGTTTGACATTTTTATTCTTTTTCCTTTTTGTTCTCTTATGCAGGTCTTTGTCGATAATACTGATTTTCAGAAGGAACTAGAGTGACAGGGCATTATTGTCATTATAGCAGCCACATCTCTTGTTTGAATCTATGGAAAGGTCCATAATTATGCCCAGTAGAATCTTCGCTGTTGTTAGATCAATTCTGCCAAAAGTGCCCAGTGAGAGATAATGTATATTTCCTTTGTGTAGCTGCAATACAATATGTACGCAATCATAGCAGATGGAGTTTGATGTACATATCATGACAGCTGCTTGGGGAAAATGTAAATCTAGTTTTCTGCCAATTGAAATATAAGCTCGCTCAAAATCATGTCATGTTTGCACGGCAATGCAACATATGCTGGATCCCCTCAATCCACATCTGTTTGTCACCTTTGTTTCTGCATTCAAATTCAATCACCCTGTCTGCTGTTTTTATCCCAAAGTAGGCCCTCTGTTCGTTGCTATCCTGCCACTCTCCTCTGGGCCATGCTGGGATGTCTCTATAGACTCCAGAGACTACACCTGCAGACATACCAAGGCTCGATTCAGTGGACAGGGCCAGATGAACAAGGTAATTACATGCTAATGTCTGGTGCTTTTCTTACACTTCTTTTTCTTTGTGAATGTTCCTGCCATGTGCTTGCTTTTCATTTTAGCTACCACCTGTTTCATCCCACTTTGAGTACAGATTCAGAAATTTTAGGACAGTAGAACAAGTCAATATGCACATGGGTTGGCCAAAAAATCATTTTTTTTTTGTGATTCTGTTACAGAACTACCAATGGATGAAATGAATTTTAACTGGAATGAAAATGTTTCAACTGTGTGCAGATTGTTGAAACTTCCAAAGCAATTTTGAAATATATTAATTTTATTCCACGTCTGTTTTGTCTAATTATTGATTTGTCTAGTGTGTTTATGCCTTTTACCTGGCAATTTGAATTTATGTTGAAAGAGACTTGCTTCCAGTGGAGATCTCCTGCATCAACATTTATGCGAAAATAAAACCATGGGTAATACTTCTTACAATGTTGTTAGATGCAGTTCCACAAACAAAATTATCTAAAATTACCTTTTCTTGTGCGTTTAAAAATTTCTCCACCTTTGGAGACAAAATTCAATGCTGTCAAGACATTCAATTCTTTACCTTCTTCAGTCTGCTGCTCAGCCAGAGCAATGGTGGAAGCTCCGTACCCCTTCTGCAACCTTGCCCTTAACGTGGCAGCCCCTCTCAAGGCTGCATTAATGATTTGATAAAGTTGAGAACTGTTTTAAGTCGCCTTGCTTTGTGAAATTATGTATAAGCTGATTTAATGGTTTTATCTCTGAAAAATGTATCCAGATATGAGGATATCAAACTGGACTTAAGAAACACATTCACTTTGCACGCAAGTAACTTGATCCTACTGGATTATTTGAGGTCAATCATTCGAAACTAGGTTGTATTTAGATCAGTTGAATCATGACATTTGGATCTTCACCAAGATGCAGTTTTTGTAGTACCCAAACATAAACAAAGAACAGTAAACCTGTTGAACTATTGATGTGGTTAGTTTTGAGAAGTAGACCACTTTGCATCTTGAGAGCAGACAGATACCTGTGGCTGCTCCAGCAGTAAGGGTCATGATATCGCCATTTGTCCTCGCGTTAATTGCAGAACCAACAACTGATAGGATTTGCTCATGATCAGCTCCCATGTCCTCTGCAATCTCAACGCAATGCGAAGCTACCAGAGCAGCTGCAGATGCCATTGCAGCAGAAGTTTTTGAAGGTGCCTTATTTTGGAAAGTTGCCTTTTCAGGTCCAGTTGCTAATGAGGCCGCAAGAGCAGCGACAGCAGCAGCAACTCCTGCCACAGATACAGCTGCATGCAATTGGGCACTCTGGGTTCTTAGCTCCTGCTTCTTCCTTTCTTTTTGATCTTTCAGGAATCTACTCACTGTATTTCCCCTCATGATGCTCCTGTAGAGCTGTAAAACGAGAACAATGAATAGGATGGTGGCGATGACAATAATAATCAGGTTGGAAAAATAGATACCCCATTTTTTAGCAACTGTTGATTAGATAGGAATTCTGGGTTGAGGGCTTGATGGAGTAAAAAGAGTTCCTGCACATGTGAGACTTGTTAGAGGGATTTTTAGTAGGATGAAGCATTCAGTTAATTGTTTACCAATCAGGACTTGTTTTTTGTCGTGTTTTTTAAACATGGGTGTTTTCTAATCAGTTGCTCATTATTTGTTAGCCTCGAGTGTCCCAACTAGGCATGCTCTAATGATTAAATGTCATGACCATGTCTCACAATTACTTGAGTTTTGCGATACATGTAACAATAAAAGGAAATGTTTCATTACAAGCATTCTTTTATTACTTCCCCCAGAGTCACTACTACTACAGAGATTAAGCACGCAAATATCAACTATTTGGTGCACAGTGCTCACTTGTGCACATTCGCACACCGAACACACACAAAAACTTTGAAATACCTTTGTATCATCACTTCCACTTGGAGAAATTGGAGGGCTTTCAGCTTTTGGTAATTCTTTAGGTTGCTGTAATACATGAAAATTATGTGAACAATAAAACTGGGACTTGGGTAAGTAGATAAATTATAAGATCCTTTTTTCTGGAAGAATGATCATTAGTGGCTCGGTTTTAAAAAAACCCTTGTTTTAACTGCAGGAGTAAAGGTCAGAGAAGGGATCTTACAAATTCCTTTGAAACCGCAGAGCTTCTAAGTTGGGTTTGATCAGCACCAACTGAACATAGAGGGGACTTCTCAACATGGTTACCAGCAATCTGTGTGTGGGAAAGAGCTTTTGAAAGTTCCACAGCCGGGAGACTCCATGATCTAGCAAGAAACTCCATGGATTCAGTAGGCGTTTCTGGTGTAGGGCAAGTCACTTGTAGGCAACCTAACGGACTGTCTTCCTCAATGTTTTCCAGCCTATTTGGTGTGTATTTGGAACCAGGCAAGCTCGCGGACACTGTAATAAGCATACAAGGTGAAAAAAACTGACTAATTTCTTTTCATTTCAGGGTACGGAAGCTCATTATCATAAAACTTACTTGTGGTATTATTGATTTCAGAATTTCACTCAGTTAATTATATAGCTGGAGTTGAACATGACTGCAACTTCTCATGCAAAGTGGAGCAAACAGGAGGAAGATAGGTGACGATAAACAGGAGAAAGGATGTGATATATAACATGGATTCTGCACTGGGTTCCAAGTTTTCTTTAGTGACTAAAACATAAAGGAATATTAAACCGCATGGGTTTGCTTCCGTGATCGAGCGACAGGTGAGGTGTAAACTGGCACATCCAAATTTTGAGTCTAGTGACTATATGAAACACTACACAGAATTACCCAACACACGTGATTTATCGGTGATTGCATACATTTAAAATCTAAAGTATAGCCCGAAGGGTTCAAAACATGTGATCGAGACAATTCTCCAATTTTTTTTTTAAAAAAAAAATGGTAAGTGGGGTTATGAATTCCATATTGCTACATGAAAGGTCCCAATTAAAGTGTAATAAACTTTGTCTCCACCTTCCATGTTTTCCTCTTGTTCTTCCAATCTTTTTGTGCTTTATTCAACAGGAGCTAAAGAGCAATTTTTTGAGCGGCGGGCTTCATCATGACTGGGGCCTCTAATGTCACCACTGCTACTGCCTAAAAGGAAGAAATGGGAGCCTCACGCATACAATATAAACCCTCTGGTTTGTAATTAAACCTTGCCATAGACTGTATTTCATGACTTGGTTGAGACTCTTTTGACTCTTCCTACTAACCAATACATTCCAAAAGAATAAAACAAAAAAAAGGAGTTTGCAAATGTGACTTCAAGATTTAAAAGTCATTCTTAATCCAATATGTTTAATTAACATTGGGTGATTAGATACTAATCTGATCTATTTATTTATAGTGTCGTGTTTAGGTTGTCATTATGCATAACCTACAATCTAGAAGTTTACATTTCTCAATTAAATCAATTACTTAAACTTTTCTTAGATTAAAATTTACTCGATTTTGATTTTCACAAATCTAAAATAAGAAATTCTTTAATTTATAACGATTTAAATAATACATAGATCAAGATGGTAAAAAAAATGATAAAACACAATTAATGTGTTGATTGTGTCAAAATTTAGTTACTCGTGATTGATATTAATCTGTTTTAATCATTACTTTGTCATAGCATATCGTTTTATTTTTAACTTTGCATTGAGCCCTATGATCTAATTTTGTGTTGAGTTTATAATGTGTTCGTAGTTGTCTACTTCAACAGCGATTAGAATGAAATTTTAATCTACGGATGTTTATTGTGATAATTAATTTTTTTTTTATTCAAATATTATTATAGGGTGGAGGACGAGGAGTCGGGACTGCTAACCTCGTGGTAATCAAGTTCAAGGCACTCATCCAAAGCAAATGGTATCTGTGTCTTTTTGTTTACTCTTCATCGTTGCTTGAACTGTAATCATGCGAAAGAGATAGAAATGCCGCACTAATCTTCCAAGGACCCACATCCCACTTCCCAGTTTTCGAATAACGAAATACGAGGCTATAACGTCGTACCTCGTCCCCTCAAGACCTTTGGAGGCTGTGGCTATTTCGATGCAAACACAAATGGTGGAAAACAGTAATGTTTCTAGGCAGACACAAGTTGAGAACAGTGTTGTACCATTGAACGGACAATATTACCGTTGCCAGCAAATTCACTACCACTACCAACACCGCCACTGCGACAGCCCCGAAAGTTCAGCCGTCCTAAAGTCAACCGTCCACTGTGCTAGACTTATCTCACGGTGGTGGAACAGGACTCACAGGGGGACTTGCTTGTGTTTAGAGCGCTTGTTTTTTTAAACAAATCTAAAAAATTATTGAAGTTCGACTTGTTTAGAATTTGAGCTAAGTCCGAGTAGCTCAACTATTTTACACATAAACGAGTTAAGTTTTACGAGATTAAGTTGAACCTACAAGCCTAAAAAATTATACAAATTTAGTTTGTTTAGAACATCCAAAGCTCCAACCGTCCAAAAGAAACTAGCCAATCACACCACTATCACCTCACCATACTCAATATTAGAGGTGGCAATATTAACTTATTACCCATTAATTTGTCCAACTCGTCCATAAATAAATAGGTTGGATACCTATATTAATTAATACAGGTTTTAAATGGGTTGGGTACCTATATTAATTAAAATTAAGTGGGTTAATATGGATTATAAATGGGTACTCATTGAGTTGAGTATTTGTCTTTTTAATAAATAACATAAGTAATAAAAATAAATAAATATACTAGTATACCCAAAAATATACATTATTACACCAAAAAATACAAACACATACACTAATACACTAAAATATACACACACTAGTACACAAAAAACACACACACTAATACACCACCCATGACCCACAGATCGACCCATAACCCATGGGTTGCCATGACCCGCGGGTTGATTCATGACCCACATATCGACCCACAACTCACTGGTCAACCCACAACATTATGTGTGTATCTTTTTTTTTTTTGTTTATTAAATATGTTTTAATTTTTGTGTGTGTATTTTTGGTGTATTAGTGTGTATATTTTTAATGTATTAGTTTGTATGTGTTTTGGTGTGTTTGTGTATATTTGTATTTTAGTGTACCACTAATGTATGTGTGTGTGTGTTTTGGTGTACTAATGTATCTATTAAGAATTTTTATTATTGTATGAGTTAATCGGTTTAATCCAACCTGTTATAAACTCAACTCATTATAACTAATTTATTAGGTAAGTGAAAAATAGATTTCATTTATTTTATCTCAATCCAATTTAACCCTAATCATAACCAATCCAACCCATCCATTTGTCACCCCTACTAAATATCTATCTATACATTTTAAAAACTTGAATAGATTTGTAAGGTATTAGCTCATTAATTGTAGCCGAATTTTGACCATCAAATATCTACCACATTGAGATGTATTTATAACTCTTAGGAATAGGGGTGCAACTCAGGCGGGTTGGACGGATTGGACAATCAACCTTAGCTCACCCCTAAGTATATAATTTTTAACCCTAACCCTAACCCGGGTTGAGAAACTTAACCCCGAGCACTACCCGAGTTTAATTCGGGCGGACTCGGATTGAATTTGGGTTGATGATTTCGGGTTGATTACGGATTACTTTACTGGTTCAATTCGAGTAGAGTCNTATAATGTGTTCGTAGTTGTCTACTTCAACAGCGATTAGAATGAAATTTTAATCTACGGATGTTTATTGTGATAATTAATTTTTTTTTTTATTCAAATATTATTATAGGGTGGAGGACGAGGAGTCGGGACTGCTAACCTCGTGGTAATCAAGTTCAAGGCACTCATCCAAAGCAAATGGTATGTGTGTCTTTTTGTTTACTCTTCATCGTTGCTTGAACTGTAATCATGCGAAAGAGATAGAAATGCCGNTATTCACCTAAATTAACAACCAATAACTTCAACCTAGTATTTAACGAGAAAAGACTGAGAGAACGAGAGAGACAGAGAACAATAAAATAAAAATAAAAAATCAGTGCTAATGCTTTATATATATAATATTTTTTTAATTTGTCAGGTTTGGGTTGAATTCGAGTTCACGAGGCCTTAACCCGAGCCCAACCCAAATTGAATTCGGGTTAGAATTTTTTTACCCAAACTCAACTCAAGTATTAAAAATCCTTACCTAAGCCATAATTTTTTCGGGNTTTAGGACAGTAGAACAAGTCAATATGCACATGGGTTGGCCAAAAAATCATTTTTTTTTTGTGATTCTGTTACAGAACTACCAATGGATGAAATGAATTTTAACTGGAATGAAAATGTTTCAACTGTGTGCAGATTGTTGAAACTTCCAAAGCAATTTTGAAATATATTAATTTTATTCCACGTCTGTTTTGTCTAATTATTGATTTGTCTAGTGTGTTTATGCCTTTTACCTGGCAATTTGAATTTATGTTGAAAGAGACTTGCTTCCAGTGGAGATCTCCTGCATCAACATTTATGCGAAAATAAAACCATGGGTAATACTTCTTACAATGTTGTTAGATGCAGTTCCACAAACAAAATTATCTAAAATTACCTTTTCTTGTGCGTTTAAGAATTTCTCCACCTTTGGAGACAAAATTCAATGCTGTCAAGACATTCAATTCTTTACCTTCTTCAGTCTGCTGCTCAGCCAGAGCAATGGTGGAAGCTCCGTACCCCTTCTGCAACCTTGCCCTTAACGTGGCAGCCCCTCTCAAGGCTGCATTAATGATTTGATAAAGTTGAGAACTGTTTTAAGTCGCCTTGCTTTGTGAAATTATGTATAAGCTGATTTAATGGTTTTATCTCTGAAAAATGTATCCAGATATGAGGATATCAAACTGGACTTAAGAAACACATTCACTTTGCACGCAAGTAACTTGATCCTACTGGATTATTTGAGGTCAATCATTCGAAACTAGGTTGTATTTAGATCAGTTGAATCATGACATTTGGATCTTCACCAAGATGCAGTTTTTGTAGTACCCAAACATAAACAAAGAACAGTAAACCTGTTGAACTATTGATGTGGTTAGTTTTGAGAAGTAGACCACTTTGCATCTTGAGAGCAGACAGATACCTGTGGCTGCTCCAGCAGTAAGGGTCATGATATCGCCATTTGTCCTCGCGTTAATTGCAGAACCAACAACTGATAGGATTTGCTCATGATCAGCTCCCATGTCCTCTGCAATCTCAACGCAATGCGAAGCTACCAGAGCAGCTGCAGATGCCATTGCAGCAGAAGTTTTTGAAGGTGCCTTATTTTGGAAAGTTGCCTTTTCAGGTCCAGTTGCTAATGAGGCCGCAAGAGCAGCGACAGCAGCAGCAACTCCTGCCACAGATACAGCTGCATGCAATTGGGCACTCTGGGTTCTTAGCTCCTGCTTCTTCCTTTCTTTTTGATCTTTCAGGAATCTACTCACTGTATTTCCCCTCATGATGCTCCTGTAGAGCTGTAAAACGAGAACAATGAATAGGATGGTGGCGATGACAATAATAATCAGGTTGGAAAAATAGATACCCCATTTTTTAGCAACTGTTGATTAGATAGGAATTCTGGGTTGAGGGCTTGATGGAGTAAAAAGAGTTCCTGCACATGTGAGACTTGTTAGAGGGATTTTTAGTAGGATGAAGCATTCAGTTAATGGTTTACCAATCAGGACTTGTTTTTTGTCGTGTTTTTTAAACATGGGTGTTTTCTAATCAGTTGCTCATTATTTGTTAGCCTCGAGTGTCCCAACTAGGCATGCTCTAATGATTAAATGTCATGACCATGTCTCACAATTACTTGAGTTTTGCGATACATGTAACAATAAAAGGAAATGTTTCATTACAAGCATTCTTTTATTACTTCCCCCAGAGTCACTACTACTACAGAGATTAAGCACGCAAATATCAACTATTTGGTGCACAGTGCTCACTTGTGCACATTCGCACACCGAACACACACAAAAACTTTGAAATACCTTTGTATCATCACTTCCACTTGGAGAAATTGGAGGGCTTTCAGCTTTTGGTAATTCTTTAGGTTGCTGTAATACATGAAAATTATGTGAACAATAAAACTGGGACTTGGGTAAGTAGATAAATTATAAGATCCTTTTTTCTGGAAGAATGATCATTAGTGGCTCGGTTTTAAAAAAACCCTTGTTTTAACTGCAGGAGTAAAGGTCAGAGAAGGGATCTTACAAATTCCTTTGAAACCGCAGAGCTTCTAAGTTGGGTTTGATCAGCACCAACTGAACATAGAGGGGACTTCTCAACATGGTTACCAGCAATCTGTGTGTGGGAAAGAGCTTTTGAAAGTTCCACAGCCGGGAGACTCCATGATCTAGCAAGAAACTCCATGGATTCAGTAGGCGTTTCTGGTGTAGGGCAAGTCACTTGTAGGCAACCTAACGGACTGTCTTCCTCAATGTTTTCCAGCCTATTTGGTGTGTATTTGGAACCAGGCAAGCTCGCGGACACTGTAATAAGCATACAAGGTGAAAAAAACTGACTAATTTCTTTTCATTTCAGGGTACGGAAGCTCATTATCATAAAACTTACTTGTGGTATTATTGATTTCAGAATTTCACTCAGTTAATTATATAGCTGGAGTTGAACATGACTGCAACTTCTCATGCAAAGTGGAGCAAACAGGAGGAAGATAGGTGACGATAAACAGGAGAAAGGATGTGATATATAACATGGATTCTGCACTGGGTTCCAAGTTTTCTTTAGTGACTAAAACATAAAGGAATATTAAACCGCATGGGTTTGCTTCCGTGATCGAGCGACAGGTGAGGTGTAAACTGGCACATCCAAATTTTGAGTCTAGTGACTATATGAAACACTACACAGAATTACCCAATACACGTGATTTATCGGTGATTGCATACATTTAAAATCTAAATTATAGCCCGAAGGGTTCAAAACATGTGATCGAGACAATTCTCCAATTTTTTTTTTTTANGCACATCCAAATTTTGAGTCTAGTGACTATATGAAACACTACACAGAATTACCCAACACACGTGATTTATCGGTGATTGCATACATTTAAAATCTAAAGTATAGCCCGAAGGGTTCAAAACATGTGATCGAGACAATTCTCCAATTTTTTTTTTAAAAAAAAAATGGTAAGTGGGGTTATGAATTCCATATTGCTACATGAAAGGTCCCAATTAAAGTGTAATAAACTTTGTCTCCACCTTCCATGTTTTCCTCTTGTTCTTCCAATCTTTTTGTGCTTTATTCAACAGGAGCTAAAGAGCAATTTTTTGAGCGGCGGGCTTCATCATGACTGGGGCCTCTAATGTCACCACTGCTACTGCCTAAAAGGAAGAAATGGGAGCCTCACGCATACAATATAAACCCTCTGGTTTGTAATTAAACCTTGCCATAGACTGTATTTCATGACTTGGTTGAGACTCTTTTGACTCTTCCTACTAACCAATACATTCCAAAAGAATAAAACAAAAAAAAGGAGTTTGCAAATGTGACTTCAAGATTTAAAAGTCATTCTTAATCCAATATGTTTAATTAACATTGGGTGATTAGATACTAATCTGATCTATTTATTTATAGTGTCGTGTTTAGGTTGTCATTATGCATAACCTACAATCTAGAAGTTTACATTTCTCAATTAAATCAATTACTTAAACTTTTCTTAGATTAAAATTTACTCGATTTTGATTTTCACAAATCTAAAATAAGAAATTCTTTAATTTATAACGATTTAAATAATACATAGATCAAGATGGTAAAAAAAATGATAAAACACAATTAATGTGTTGATTGTGTCAAAATTTAGTTACTCGTGATTGATATTAATCTGTTTTAATCATTACTTTGTCATAGCATATCGTTTTATTTTTAACTTTGCATTGAGCCCTATGATCTAATTTTGTGTTGAGTTTATAATGTGTTCGTAGTTGTCTACTTCAACAGCGATTAGAATGAAATTTTAATCTACGGATGTTTATTGTGATAATTTAATTTTTTTTTTATTCAAATATTATTATAGGGTGGAGGACGAGGAGTCGGGACTGCTAACCTCGTGGTAATCAAGTTCAAGGCACTCATCCAAAGCAAATGGTATCTGTGTCTTTTTGTTTACTCTTCATCGTTGCTTGAACTGTAATCATGCGAAAGAGATAGAAATGCTGCACTAATCTTCCAAGGACCCACATCCCACTTCCCAGTTTTCGAATAACGAAATACGAGGCTATAACGTCGTACCTCGTCCCCTCAAGACCTTTGGAGGCTGTGGCTATTTCGATGCAAACACAAATGGTGGAAAACAGTAATGTTTCTAGGCAGACACAAGTTGAGAACAGTGTTGTACCATTGAACGGACAATATTACCGTTGCCAGCAAATTCACTACCACTACCAACACCGCCACTGCGACAGCCCCGAAAGTTCAGCCGTCCTAAAGTCAACCGTCCACTGTGCTAGACTTATCTCACGGTGGTGGAACAGGACTCACAGGGGGACTTGCTTGTGTTTAGAGCGCTTGTTTTTTTAAACAAATCTAAAAAATTATTGAAGTTCGACTTGTTTAGAATTTGAGTTAAGTCTGAGTAACTCAACTATTTTACACATAAACGAGTTAAGTTTTACGAGATTAAGTTGAACCTACAAGCCTAAAAAATTATACAAATTTAGTTTGTTTAGAACATCCAAAGCTCCAACCGTCCAAAAGAAACTAGCCAATCACACCACTATCACCTCACCATACTCAATATTAGAGGTGGCAATATTAACTTATTACCCATTAATTTGTCCAACTCGTCCATAAATAAATAGGTTGGATACCTATATTAATTAATACAGGTTTTAAATGGGTTGGGTACCTATATTAATTAAAATTAAGTGGGTTAATATGGATTATAAATGGGTACTCATTGGGTTGAGTATTTATCTTTTTAATAAATAACATAAGTAATAAAAATAAATAAATATACTAATATACCCAAAAATACATATATTATTACACCAAAAAATACAAACACATACACTAATACACTAAAATATACACACACTAGTACACAAAAAACACACACACTAATACACCACCCATGACCCACAGATCGACCCATAACCCATGGGTTGCCATGACCTGCGGGTTGATTCATGACCCACATATCGACCCACAACTCACTGGTCGACCCACGACATTATGTGTGTATCTTTTCTTTTTTTTTGTTTATTAAATATGTTTTAATTTTTGTGTGTGTATTTTTGGTGTATTAGTGTGTATATTTTTAATGTATTAGTTTGTATGTGTTTTGGTGTGTTTGTGTATATTTGTATTTTAGTGTACCACTAATGTATGTGTGTGTGTGTTTTGGTGTACTAATGTATCTATTAAGAATTTTTATTATTGTATGAGTTAATCGGTTTAACCCAACCTGTTATAAACTCAACTCATTATAACTCATTTATTAGGTAAGTGAAAAATAGATTTCATTTATTTTATCTCAATCCAATTTAACCCTAATCATAACCAATCCAACCCATCCATTTGTCACCCCTACTAAATATCTATCTATACATTTTAAAAACTTGAATAGATTTGTAAGGTATTAGCTCATTAATTGTAGCCGAATTTTGACCATCAAATATCTACCACATTGAGATGTATTTATAACTCTTAGGAATAAGGGTGCAACTCGGGCGGGTTAGACGGATTGGACAATCAACCTTAGCTCACCCCTAAGTATATAATTTTTAACCCTAACCCGGGTTGAGAAACTTAACCCCGAGCACTACCCGAGTTTAATTCGGGCGGACTCGGATTGAATTTGGGTTGATGATTTCGGGCTGATTACGGGTTACTTTACTGGTTCAATTCGAGTAGAGCCTAAAATAAGTTTGTTGTTCTAAACTTAATACATATATTACATAATATTCACCTAAATTAACAACCAATAACTTCAACCTAGTATTTAACGAGAAAAGACTAAGAGAACGAGAGAGGCAAAAAGAACGAGAGAGACAAAGAACAATAAAATAAAAATAAAAAATCAGTGCTAATGTTTTATATATATAAAATTTTTTTAATTTGTCAGGTTTGGGTTGAATTCGGGTTCACGAGGCCTTAACCCGAGCCCAACCCAAATTGAATTCGGGTTGGAATTTTTTTACCCAAACTCAACTCAAGTATTAAAAATCCTTACCTAAGCCATAATTTTTTCGGGTTGAAATCGGGTTGTCCAACCCAAGTTGCACCCCTACTTAGGAATGATACAGGGATTGGGTATATCTTTTGGTAATTTAGAGATCTCGAGTTCAATTTCTTCTACATTCTCTAAATACTAGTAATCTTTGTTTTTTTGGGCATATGTTTTAGACCAGTTCAAGTCACGGAGGTCAACCATTGAGTTCAATAGAGTAGTCGGCACAAACCGAGACACCTTATAACTTAAAAAAAAAAAAAAAAGAGATGTATTTATGTTGCACTCTTTCCATTCTATAAAAGACAAGGTTATGGGCCACAAAATTTATTATATTCCCAATTAGAATGGGCTTGAACCTATGCAAATATGATACCCTAACAATTGGATTTCCAGTTTCCAGGCCCAATTTATAAATATAGTTCAAGAATTATCATCAAAGCACAAACTCACTGAGTTTCAGGACTCGTACTTTTTTAATGAAAATGACCTTTGCGTCTTCACCAAGAGATGATTTTTGTTTTGAATTCAACTGGCACATGACACCCTTTAAACTTTAAAGATTCCAAACTCCTTTTCTAAAGATTAAAAAAGAACAATTTTCAAAAAATTCCCTAATTTAAAAATTGTATTGCTGGATTTTAGTTTACCTAAAAATCGATCATTCCACCACGAGATTGGGGGATGTGTTTGCTTTAAGTATTAGGAAAGAGGAATTGGAAAAAATAATGTTAGGATCACATTATTCCTCGTATATTTATGTTTGGATATATATTTTGGGTCCGGTATTATCACCTAGAAATAATATTCGCCCGGATGAATAGCATATTTAATACCATATACAGCCTATTAAATAAACCCACATTGTTGGTGAGTTTAAATAATTCAATTGAGACGTATTTGTGCAAAAAACATTTTTATCCTCAAGAATCTTTAAAATATAAATATTACTCCCTCCATTCTTAAATATCTGTCGTTTTACATAATTTTTTTTGTTCCATAATATCTCTCGTTTAATGAAACCAAAGCATAATTAATATTTTTTCTTCCAAATTTACCCTTAACTTTTCAATGCATTAAATTAAGTAGAGGTTAAATGTCTTTTCTTTCTAATACGTATTGAATAAAGGTATTTTAGTCTTGCGTAATTATTTTTTACTTATATTAGAACTATTTAATAGCTTCCTTAATCCATGTACAAAAAGCTTAAACGACAAATATTTAAGAACGGAGGGAATACTCTTTATCTTGAAAGTTTTTTAGTAATTTATGTTTATACCATCGTTCAATATTCCATCCAAGTATTAGATGGAATAAATGTGAGGCCCGTTATTTTTTAATATTTGAACCAAATATGGAATAAGTATGCATTATCACTATAATTAGTTAATGAGCCGAATGGATAGGTATGAGATGGACAAGTTTGTCTGATTCAGTTCTTCCTAATACTTAAACCAAACACACTCTAAATTGTTTGGAAGTATTTTATAGATTGTAAAATTCTTTGATTCATTAATTAAACCTTGTGTCCAAATACTTCTCCACAAAACTAAGTTGTAGAACGGAAAAAACCGTCATCTCCTAGAAGTTGCTCAAGAACTTTGATAAAATATTTATTGCCTAAATAGCGTACTTTTAATTAGGAGTGCAACTTGAGCGGGTTAACCCTAATTTAACCCAAGTTCAAAAAGGATTTGGGTTAAAATTTTTAATACTTGGGTTGGATTTGAACAAAAAATTTCAACCCGAATTGAATTTGGACAAGCCTCGAGTTGTCGGGTTTAACTCGAATATTAAAATCAGGTTGAACCTAAAAATACATAATATATATAAATATATTTAACTAGGGTTAGTATTTATCTTCACTCTTTCGAATATAGACTTTCATTTCATTTCAAGTCTTCACCTCTGTGCCTCCATCACTCTCAGATCCCTTTCTTACTCGTCACTCTTCCCTCTTTCAGCCTTCCTCTCTCAATCTTCACTCTTCCTTCTCTCACTCCCTCTCTCTTCATCTGCATCTCGCCCTTCATCTCAG